CCTTCCCGCGCAATGATGGCTCTCTATGTTGAAGCATGAAAAGCCTGAAAATTGTCCAAATCAGGCAATAGTGGCATCTGAAAAGTAGGTTTGTCTTCTATATATTTATGTAAGTTTCATATCGATATTTTTTTTACTTAAGAAATTATATGCATAAGAAGGCATACGTTCTTGTCAAACTACTTGCTAATTTTGTGCTATTCCATTGCCACTTTCCATTACAGGTTCCTTCCTGCGAAATGATGGCTCGCTCTGTTGCAGCACAAAGGACCTGAAAATTGTCCAAATCTGGCAGTCTTTGTGGCTACTGAAAGGGCGAATGTTCCCCTATTCATTGATGTAAGTTTCATGTCCATATTTCCTTTAGTTGGGAAATTATCGTAAGAAGAAGGCTTTGGTTGTTGTCCTACTGCTGGCTAATTTTTCGCAATTCCCGTGTCCCTTCCCACGCAATGATGGCTATCTATGTTGCAGCATAAAAGGCCTTAAAAAAGTCCAAATCAGGCAATCTTGGTGGCATCTGAAAGGGTTATTGTTCCTCTTTATATTGATGTAAGTTTCATTTCCATATTTTTTTTACTTAGGAAATTATATGCAGAAGAAGGCATAAGTTCTAGTTGAACTACTTGCTAATTTTGTGTTATTCCAATGCCACTTTCCATTGCAGGTTCCTTCTTGCGCAATGATGGCTCGCTCTGTTGCAGCACAAAAGACCTGAAAATTGTGGAAATCTGGCAGAAATCTTATCGTAAGAAGAAGGCTTTCGTTGTTATCCTGCTGCTTGCTAATTTTGTGCAATTCCCGGGTCCCTTCCCGCACAATGATGGCTCTCTATGTTGAAGCATAAAAGGCCTGAAAATTGTCCTAATCAGGCAATCTTGGTGGCATCTGAAAGGTAGCTTTGTCCTCTATATATTGATGTAAGTTTCATATCCATATTTCTTTTACTTAGGAAATTATATGCAGAAGAAGTCATACGTTGTTGTCAAACTATTTGCTAATTATTGTCCTATTCCATTGCCTCTTTCCTTTACAGATTCCTTCTTGAGCAATGATGGCTCTCTAAGTTGCAGCATAAAAGACCTGAAAATTGTCGAAATCTCGCAGTCCTTGTGGCTTATTAAAGGGCGAATGTTCCGTGATTCATTTATGTAAGTTTCATATAAATACTTCTTTTAGTTGGGAAATTATCATAAGAAGAAGGCTTTGGTTGTTGTCCTGCTGCTTGCTAATTTTGTGCAATTCCCGTGTCCCTTCCCGCGCAATGATGGCTCTCTAAGTTGAAGCATAAAATGCCTGAAAATTGTCCAAATCAGGCAGTTGTGGTGGCTCCTGAAAGGTAGATTGGTCCTCTATATATTGATGTTAGTTTCATATCCATATATGCTTTAGTTATGAAATTATCGTAAGAAGAAGGCTTTGGTTGTTGTCCTGCTGCTTGCAAATTTTGTGCAATTCCCGTGTCCCTTCCTGCGCAATGATAACTCTCTATGTTGAAGCATAAAAGACCTAAAACTTGTCCAAATAAGGCAATCTTAGTGGGTACTGAAAGGGTGAAAGTTCCCCTATTCATTTATCTAAGTTTCATATCCATATTTTCTTTAGTTGGGAAATTATCGTAAGAAGAA